TCCTAGGGATCCGGTCTGCTCAGAGGTAGCTGGGCCCAGCCCCACGGTGCCGTCCGCACAGGGCTGCCAAGACTCGGGGCTGTGCTCGCAGCGCGGGTTCGTGGGAGGACAAGTCCGTGTCTCTCTTGCTGCCCACCGATGACTGCTTAAGGGGTACCGCAGCAGCCTGGGGCAAGCTGTGCAGATTCAGCCCCCCAGGAGGTCACACCCCACAGAACCCTGAGATTTGGGTCAGTGCCCTGCACCTGGGCTCTCCAACCCACAGAGGCACCATGCACTCTCATGGGGCCTGCTCACTGCCCGCTGCACCATGGCCACGCCCAGGGGGGGGGAGTCCGGCGAGGCACCTGTGAGCGTGGAAGTAAAGAAGAAACCGTGAAGAGCAGGAGTTTGGGGGACCTGATTGGCAGCCAGCCTGCCAAGGGCGTCCCCCCTTTCTTCCTAAAAATAATATTCAATAGCACAGGAGGGTCGGGAGAGACACGGAAGGTCGCCTGGTCTTCCAGGCAGAGATGTAACCAATTACGTTTATTTGGGTCAAACACTGTTCTGTAGAGAGCGAAGTAGGGCAGCGGGGAGGCGGGCGAGCGAGGGCCCCAGGGGCTCGGGCTCCACGCTCTCTCCGCCAGCTCCGGGTCTGAGAGAAATGGCCACCCTCTCTCCGTCTTGGCTTTCCTATCCGTAAGGTGGGAACATGCCCAGTAGCGCGTCGGGGCAGACATAATACAGTGGCTGTCATACAGTGGTGTGCCTGGCACACAGCAGGTGCTTAATAAGGGCAGCCGTGGGGGCAGGCGTGCGGGGGGAGGAGCAGAGGCAGAGCATGCTGACTTCTCCTTTCAGTCCTGAGGGGGACGGGAATCAGTCCAACAGCCCCCAGATTCCGCAGACACTGTTGCTTCTACTCTGACGTTTCCCTTCTCAAGAATCCCACCGGGGCCCTCCATTATCCAGAGGCTCCGAGGGTTCACCATCCCCCATTGCTGGGAGGAAGGAGGTAGCTGTGTGACTCAGAAGTCTCCCCTGCCCTCCCTGGAGATGCTGGGTCCCATCAGTAGTTTGGAAAATCCAAGACAGGTTCCTAAACAGACTGGAGCAGGAGGGAACAGCCGGGACAGCAGCCAGAAGCTCCCCCCCCCCCATCCCAGGGTTCCAAACGTGACAATGGACCCCTCCCTTCCGCTCCTACCCTCTCCTCCCTTCCGAGAGCCCCTGAGGACCCTGTAGTTTTCCCTGCGTTAACCCTTGTTCCCTTGACTCAGCCTCCAGCCAGATGGAGCCTGTGAAGCTGAAGTCAGGAGCCCTATTCATGAAGATGGACCTGAAGTGGAGAAGGAAGCCCTGTTCTGGCTCACCCAAGGCTTCCAAGGCCAAGAAGACAGCGCTACACACCTCCACAGGCACAAAAACCCCAAGATCCACACGTCACCCACCTCTGGCAGCTGAGGCACTGTGACCCCGGGGCAGCTCTTATATCCTGGCAGTGCGCCCAGAACAAGCTGAGCCTTGATGCCCCAGCAGGTGCCTCCGACCCCTGACTTGCCACGGAGAGGACAGAAGACAGCAGCACCTGGTTGCCAGTGGATGTTAAGGCTACGGACACCAGCTCAGACAGGCTGGGAAGACACTGTGACATCACGTCGCCCAGCCAGCACCCAGGGGCTGGCGAAGGAAGGCACGGCCGCCTGGCTCCTGATGAGGCTTCGGGGGGTGCCAGCAAGTCACGGCCTCTACTGAGTCCAGCTGGCTGGTTCTGAATATAACATGTTCACAAACACACAAATGAGACAAGTGGAGACCAGGCCCCTTCATCTCTCGGCTGCAAACCCACCTGCCCTCACGTGGTCTCCGAGCCCCGACAAGGTCCCCCTGTCCTACCTCTCCCCAGCTCCTGCTCACTCTTCCCTGTTCCCTGAGGCTCCCAGGACACGGAGCTTAAGAGCTCACCTGAAGGCTGACACCTGGATGCACCCCCCCCCCAGGTCCTGCTCCCCATTCCCTCTACAAGCAGGCCTCGCCCCCTCTCTCTGTTCTTCCACTCACCCAGTATTTCTGCTCCAAGTTCTCACCACCTCCTCCCTTTCCCCAGGAGGAGCGAGGACTTGATTGTTCCCTGCAATGCCCTTGGAGGTCCCTTACACATCAGACCCCAATGAATGAGTGAATGAGTGAATGCATGGAATGTGCAAGGACTCTGTAAATGCCCCTCTCCCCCAACAGTTGTTCTTGGGAGCTGTAATAGGACGCCTGAAATTCACCATCCAAAGCCTGAAGTTCACCCAAAGAAATGCACATGCCCTGACGGGCAGCTGGGCTTGGGTGAGGTGCGGAGGAGAGGGGCTGGCAGATTCCATAAAGACTCCAAAGGCTTCACCATCCGCCCCGCCTTGCGGACCGTCTGCTGGGCTGAGCACCTGTCCTCTTCCCGCTGAGGTTTGCAACCATCTCTCTCCTTTTAAAAAGGTTTATTAACACATATAAGAACTGGGGTACAGGCTAGAGGTATGTGGGGTGCGAAGATTCACTAGGAACAGAGTGGGGAGCAGAACAGGCGGATCCACTGAAATCCACGGCTGAGGGGACCAGGGGAAGCAGGAGAGGTCTGCTGTGCCCCTGGGTCAGCTCCCTGGCCAGGGATCGAACTCTTGCTGCAGGGGCTGCAGGGGCTGCGGAGAGCTTAATTTCCCAGTGCTGTGCTTTAACCCCTGCGCCACCAGGGGCCCTTGCAGCCATCTTGTGGCCCGAGTGGGCCTCAGCCCTCGGCCCTGCATTTCTTCCCACATGCTGTGCTCAGATAGGGTGAGAGGCCGGGAAGCAAGCAAACGGGTAAATTACAAAACAGTGCTTCGAAATAAGAGGAAATAAGAGGCGCCCATAAACACATTCTGCTGCTGGGCTGGCTGAGGCCTCCAGGTCTGCAGAACCGCCAGGGGGGCCCTGGGTGTGCTCTAGGGGCACGGAAGGGGCACTGGACACCTGAGCCCCGGCCCGGGAGCGGAACCGCAGGGAGGGGTGTACAGGACGCTTCCTGAGGAGACGGGCTTGGGAGAGGTTTGGGGGCCGTGCCAGGGGCTGTTATTCGTGTTGGGATTCGCCCAGAGCCCCTCCGGGTGTCCCAACGGAGCTCAGCGCACCGCCTAGGAGCGGGATAGGGCCGCGAGCGCGGCTCCGGGGAGGCGGGGCGGAGCCGCGGGGGCGTGGCCCAGGAGC